CTCTGGAGGAGGGCCCGGCGGTCTCGGGGGAGGGACCGAGGACTCCTGGGCGGGAAACTGGAACCCCGGCCAAGGGAGAGCGCGTCGCGGGCCAGACACGTGTGAGCCCCGTAGCGTGGGAAACTGAGGCCCTCGCCTGTGGCCGGTGACCTCCTTCCTCCGAGGGAAGGGGTGTGACCCCAGGGGAGGAGAGCAGGAAGGACATTCCCTCCAACCCTCGACCAGAGAAGGGGGCAGTGACCCTAAGTGCGGGTGTGACCCCACCAAAGGGAAGAAAAGACAAGGAAGAGGCTGTGTGCCAGGTAGCCCTGAAGAGGAGAGTGGAAGGACTTAGAGCTTTCAAACAGAGGAGCTACCTGGGTGAGGGCCTGATCCCAGGGTGAACAGGGGACTTGGGCTGAGGTCGCCTTCCTCCTCCCCTACCCGTCCCAGGGCATGGCTCCCTCCATCATCTGACCAAACAGCAGTGTTTACATAGCAGGAAAAAATAGGAAAATATGCATTATAATGTATTAATATATCATTAAAAAATTATGAAAAGCTCAAATATGAAACCTGCAATCTACAAAAAGGTAAGTAGAATGGTTGTAATGCCAGCTATTTACTTTTTTGTTGTTTGTTTGTTTTGAGATGGAGTCTCACTCTGTTGCCCAGGCTGGAGTGCAGTCACACGATCTTGGCTCACTGCAACCTCCGCCTCCTGGTTCAAGCGATTCTCCTGCCTCAGCCTCCCGAGTAGCTGGGATTACAGGTGTGTGCCACCACACCCAGCTAATTTTTGTTTTTAGTAAAGATGAGGTTTCACCATGTCAGCCAGGCTGGTCTTGAACTCCTGACCTCAGGTGATCCACCTGCCTCGGCCTCTCAGAGTGCTGGGATTACAGGCATGAGCCACTCGGTGGGCCTATTTATATTTAAATCTTTCTCTGAAACAGGCTTCTGGTGTTTTTTTTTCTGTTTGTTGTTGTTGAGACAGAGTCTTTTTTTTTTTTTTTTTTTTGAGATAGAGTCT